ACACGTGTTGCTAACGACGGAGAGGTATCCGGAGTCGTCACCTCCCACCCTGTCACGTATCAGTTCTACCCTGGCATTATGGGATTTATTTTCATCGTAATGATGCGGACGTTGCTGTAGGTTGACGGTTACATTTTTTTTTTGGTTCGCAACCTGCTTCCCTCCACCTGCTCTGACGGGCAGCAGCAGGGGTGGTGGGTGGTGGGAGTTGGATGTGAGCTGCTGTAGCTAATGGTTTGTTTTCTACCTGGGAAATATATGTAGCGGTTCTGTAGCCTGAGATAAACGACCACCGGGGGGATCGTTAAGTTTCTGGAACAGAGTGAGGATAAATTGCCGGGGGGGGGGGTAATTAATTGCGCGTCTCTCATTAGGACGGGAGCTGTGGGCTCACTGTGCGTCGCTAACGCAGCCTGTTTTCTGCAGTGAAGAGGTGAGAGGGCTGGCAATCGTCCGATTTTACCGCTACATCGCCGTCGGACAACTGTAACGGTGGTGACTTTACACCGTGACGATACGATACTGCTACGGCAGCCTCCGGATACGGAGCGCTTAGACGAAAAAAACAAAAAAATCAACAAAAAAACAGTGTAGTACTTATGCTAGGCCTCTATGTGGTGCTGTGTCAACATACTAACACCGGAGCAATTTGTAGCAGAAGTTCGTAAAAAGCAGAAAAGAAGCCGCAGAGCATGTGTTTAGAGCCGCAGATTGTAAACAAACTAAAAAAAATAAACCCGAAAAGTCGGCTACGGCTAACTGCTGGATTTGCTTCTCCAGCACGGTCAGACCGAGCATGGGTTTCCGCCGTTTGTTGTTGGCGTTCTTTGTGCGGCGTTGAGCAGAGTTACTGGTGTAAAGGCGAGGTTGACGTTATCGTCTCACTCTGATCCGTTCACGCGGAGACACGGGCGTCCCGTCTTCATCGAGACACAAGGACGAATCGGCGCTAACACTCAGGGATCCACAGTTAAATCGTCAAAAAAACAGAAAGAGGGAAAAAAAAGAAAAGGCAACAGCACAAGACAAGTTCTGAGAACTGTTTTCCCCGGTGTGCGATTTATTCAAGACGCTAGATGGTACGTTAGCTAGCCATGAATAAATGTCTCACTTACTACAGTACCAGCGGTGACGTCCGCCTTCATGCTCTGGTTTCTGCTGCTATCCTTAGAACGATGCAGCCAATAAGTCATCGGTGTTGAGGGAGCGGGGGGGCGGTGGTGGTGGTGGGGGCTTTAAAAACAAACAGCGGTGTAATTTGTAATTTGGCATTCCCTAAATCTAGGACTTATGGTTCTGCAGTGGAGCTCTTCGGGGAGTTAGCGCTCAAATGTTGGTTTACTGGCCCACATATCCCTCCCTGGCTGCTGTCTCTTTCTCTCACCCTTTTATGACTGCTGAGGAAACTGGATTTCACAGCTGTTAAGAGCCGGGTGCCGGCTGGGCCCCCCTGACCTCCTTGTTGCCCCCCACCACCACCTCCCCACCCCTCACCCTTTCCTCAGCGTCGCCTCCTTTTTTTGCTCCCTTTCTGCAGCGGCCGTTGTCCTCGGGGAGCTTTTGTGTGGCTCAGAGGAAGCCGAATCGTAAAGCATGGCTAATGAATAGAATCGGGAAAGAAAGCCGAGGTCTGCTGACGGCCCCTCCCGAGAGGAATGGCCGTCCTCCCCGAAGCCCCAGGCTCAAATAGCAGACGACTCCACAAAGGTCAGGCTTCCTGTGGCCCACTCCAAGGGCTGTTAGCTTCCAGGCAATGTGGCTTGAATTTCCCCCATGAATTTTTTTGTGGTAAAATTTTCCCCTGTTTCCTTTGGAAGACTTTTTTTTCTCTCTCTCTCTCTCTCTTTTAAATCACATTTCCTCTATTTTTTTTCTTCTCATCCGTCTGTGTTTCATAGCGTCCAAACCGCAGCAGCTGTGACAGTCGGTGGGAAAGTCTCCAGATTAAATGTTGACTCCGACAGAAAACCTAAGAGGTTCCACAAAAACAACAGCTTGTCGGTGACATTTCTGCTGAGGATTTTTTTTTTTTTTTTTGAGCTAGCCTCATTCACGTAGCTGATGTCACCATCTGCTGGTGAAATGTTCCAAAGCGATAATGCGTAACATTTCAATTATATATATATTCGCAATATATATATCACAATATTTTATATATTGCGATATTTTGTTTCACGATACAGTACCGATACTCGAAATCACCAGATTCTTGCCAATACACACCCCTAGTGCATGGGATGAGAACTTCTTCGAGAAGTAATAGTAACTGGTTACTGAGAAGAAATTTCTCACTTCGTAACCTCCATGTTAGCTATGTTTTAGCTTCCATGTCACATATATGGTATGCCGCTATATAGCATACAGGCTAGTACGTGTTAGCATGCGACGGAGAGACACTTTATTTATTTATTTATTTTTCCCAAAGCTAAGCTAGGCTAAGCTAACCATGCGAAAACCCTCAGTTGAATCTTGTGAGTCGCATCGCTGCCCCCTACAGGAGGTGGCTAGTTTTCCACTCATGGATGTTCACTCTAATTTTTCAATGTATCGTTGTGCCTATAGTGTCGCAATATATATCGTATTGTTGCCCCCGCGTTGTGATGCGTATATCGTGTGACCGGATGTCTTACCGGTGCACATACCTGGCACACCTTCAGGTCGGCAGTGTATCTGCAGTACAAGTACACGCTCGTCTCAGACTGGGTTGTTGTGATGTCATGTACCCAATGGCCAATGAAGTGCTGAGCTGTGTTTATCCCACCCCGACATCACTGACTGATGCCTCCTCCTACTTCGGTGACCTCACCAGACCCGTGACCATCCGACGAGCTTCATTTAGTCCCCCCTCCGCTCCCCCTGGGGCTTTGGTTCAATGCTGAGGTTTTGGCACTGAAGCATTTAACATTAGCCAAGGCTAACAACCAGGACTGTGCGGCACGACGCCCCGGTTCTGGGAGACTGGCAGAGGGTGGTTCTCAACGCTCTCAGTCCTCGGCTCCTGTGGAAGGAAAACAAAAGAGGTGCGACGTGATTGGATGGTTCCCGTTGTTGTACCACGGACTGTTGGATCGCTTTGACGAATCACTGTATAAATACAGGCTATCATTCACCTAGCTAACACCTAGCTTACCCCCCCCCCTG